AGGCTGGGCAAGTTGCTAGAGCTACTGCTGGTGATAGGACTGAGGCTTCCAGTGGGTGGCCCATTATCATTGCCGGGCTACAACAAAGCAATAAATCATCTTGTCATTGTCTGTTCTCTGGACACCCCCTCCTACAAGACTCCTACCCTATACCACAGTGCAGTGCCTAGCCACCAGCAGGCATGCATCAGATTCCCTCCCAGCTTCCTTCTCTGGCTAAGTGTACCCTGTCTCTTGGACCTGTCTGCTTACACAGCTGTCCCTAGGGTAAGTTCTTACAATCTCTTTCAGCCCCTACTCAGTGGCCTCTTAGTCCAGCTTTTTTCCCTTTTTCTTAAAACCTAGTGTGTTTGTCTTTGGCTGTACTTCTTTTAAAGGCTATAAACCATAGCCTGAAAATAGCTCTGCTTCAGCTTCTGAAGGAATAATGGATATTTAAATGTAAGGATCAGGCCCCTATGGGTTATCCCTTTCATACTGTCCTGTCTTACAATTCATTCACTGAAGAGGTGGGAGGAAAATGGCTGATGAGTGCTTGCTTCCACAAGGAGATAGCAGCATATCCATACATACACAGCAGAAGTAGGCAAATCCCGCATAATATATTACTTTAATGAATTACACTGCCTTAAGAGGAGACATGACTAACACAGAATATGCCATTTTGTCTTTGGACACTATATTATTCATCACTAATATACAAATATTTGTTAAGAAATGTCATAATGAATATACAAATAAATGGAAGGAGAGTTTGTTCCTATGAACCTATTTGAAGGAGGAAAATGGGGAACATAAAATCTTAAGTAAGTGTAATACTTTATTTTATGCTGATTGAGTCTTTATGTTATGATTAAAACTCTAGCTATCATAATCCTACATATAAAATTGTCTTTGCAATATAAACAGGTTATATACCCTTATATGTTCATTTAGTCTTATTAAAGAAGAAGCTTGTGTCTGACAAGATCATGAAGCATCCTGTATAAGAATTATATAACTTCCTTGTGGGGTGTTTGCTGTGTACATTACTGGCTACTTCCATCGTTGATGATGAAGCAAATGTGATAGAAATTATGCTGGTGGCATTTCATATCCATGTGTTTATTTCATATGTAGTATAGCAGAACAATGCTGCAGTGAAAAAAAAAGCATCCTTGGGTGAAGCATGCCAGAGGGATATTGTGATCAGATATCCCCTCTTATTGGAAGAGTAAATGGTTTTGCTTTATGGAAATTCAGATTGCTGATCTTCTTATAGAAAAGTAAATTAACTGTCTGGAATGCTCCAGATTTTGCAGAAAAATGGTGTGTTGTTATCATTTTTCTCTTTTTTTAATTGACCTTTTTGTTAGCTCTGGTGGTGACATGACTTCTCCTGATAATATGAATACATTCTCTTTCATCATTTAATAGAAATAGAAAATAAATAACAAAAATAAGTTTTTCTTTTTACTCTGAGTGGGCACACATCACCAACCAAATATATCACAACAGAAGACTATTCAATAGTATCATCCTTCGTTATTTATAGAGTACAATATATGTGTTTTGCAAGGAAATAAGAATAATAAGAATAATAAACCTTGATCCAAGGAGTTTCCATGTAAAGATCTAGGTCTGGCAACTTTACTCATTTGGATCTTCCCTATTAACAAGTAAAGTTGCTGGAAACTGGGGAGATTTTTTGTGGAAAATCAGCTTTTGCAATGTGCAAAGCCGCGCCTTAATAAATGGTCACCACTCTAATTCTATCTCATCTTGGACTTTTGAACTGCTACTTTGAAGTGGAAACTGATGAAGTCGATACTGGAATAGAAAAGAACATACTGAGAAATTCCCAGCTGCCTCTTTATCAAGTTACCTGTGTGATTTCCTATAGGCCTCTAGTCCTTTAGATAGCCTTCCTTACAGGAAGAAATTTCTTTTACAGGAAGTATATCCTTCTATTTCTCAGTCAGTAGTGACTCCTCGGCACATTTAAATGACACAACTAGAAACCGCATCAAGCATTTCAGAAATTGTCACTATTTTCATAATTTCCTTTCCATTATTTTTTATTTTATTTCCTATTTCCTTCCTTCTCTTCTAAGTCACCTCACAAGCTGCATTTTAAGACACCATTCTGAGCAAATTTATTTATGTCAGTAGGAATATCCCATTGACCTTTAGCTTCAAATCCAACTCCTGATTTTTTAGATAAATGTGTAGAAATGTGTTTCAGTGGACAGGCCATCTAGAAATGATATGGACCCTTTCTGGATGCATTAAACTTACACTGGAAGTGATTTTAACTCAGAAATAATTTTATTGCAAGTCCAAGAGCAAGTCAACGCATGTTGAAATTTTTCTTGCATCCATTAAAGCACCTGTCTCCAACCACTAGATTTAAATGTTCAGATGATCATTTTTCCTGTTTTCTTTTTAAATTAAATATTCAGAAGCTAACAATCAAAAATATAATGTTCAGAATCATACAAAAAATGCTAAGTCCATCTAATACTGTACAATACTTGCCCCAACACTACATTACTACTTAACCCATACAGTACTACTTTTCCCATACTACCCATATTGGATGTGATATGCTGTAGCTATGTGGCTATCTCCAGATCTCTTCTTTCCATTAAAGCCAAACTTCCATCAGCCCTTTCTTTAGTTATGGCTTGAGGTTTAAAACTAAAAAACAAGAGTAAATGAAACATGAGTTCAAGTCATAAAAGCATGTAGTATTTCTTGATGGTTTTCTTATGCTTTTATGTAATTCCATGATTGATTTACCAGAGACTACTTGGGGTATTAAATTACCTCTCTAGATCTTCTCTTTTCTTCTATTTTGTTTTAAAGAACATATACATGATTTTTACTTCCTTATTCTTGTGTTCTGTCATCTTGTGTATAATTCTCCTATAGGATCTGGAGATAATTACGGCTTTCTTTTCTTGACTACAAATAGTTGTTTATGGTACCTTTAACAAGTCTCAACTGATACGAAAATAAGCCCTTTCTGATGCTAACAAGTTGCTCATTCCTAATAAGAGCCCTTTTTATTATGTAGTTAATAGCTGTTTGTGACAATTAGTGAAGATAAGAACAAACGTATGCTCTTAACCTCCACACAGATGCTGTTATTTTTAGATTGCAGTATAAAATACCCATCCAGCTTTTCCCACACCAGTAATCTCAACACTTTTTTCCAACACAACAGGAAAAGTGAAAGATCATTGTTGTTTTTTGCTGATCAGTTCTAATCCCAGGCCAGATGCTCTATGTCAAGTTTTTGCCATGATTTCCTAAAATTCAACTCCCAGATCCTGATGTATGAGCCTAAATTAGGGGACTGATTCCTTAAATGTGCTGAATATGGACTTCAAACAACATTAGGTTCCTAACATGGACAATATTGGCTTTCATATCTGGCTGTAGGCACTGTTCTAATGAACAAAAATAGAAATTACTCAATCCACTCTTCCTCTATCATTTCATTTTACAATAGAAATGAGTATTGCCTTTACTATTGCAGCTATGAATTATCAGAGTCAATTTTTAAATTCAAACAGCTATACAACATCTGTGGTAAAATGCACTTTGTGAAAAAAAAAGATACAGAGTCTTTTGTTTCTTTGCTTAAAGTCAGTCTGGATTGGTTAATGTCATTGTCTGACCATTGCTCATGGGTCATACGGGAAGGATGTCAGAAAGCCTTAGTTTATTTTCAGTGAAGTAGTATCCACTTCATAAAGCTACCTGCTATCAGTTCTAGCACAGGAGCTAGCTGACATGTTGGCAGTTTTGAAAAGGAGGCAAAAGATCCAGGCCAGATTCTATTCCATCTGTAAAATGCCTTCCTTAGTGGACTTAGATTTTATTCCAAATTGTTTAAGTCCCTGAAAATCTATGTACTCCTCATCTTTTACAGCAAATAATCATCTGACCTTTAAGACTGACTCACAGAAAAGCAGAGAGCCTGCAGTGCTGAGTGCACAGCCAGGGGGTCCTGTTCATATATTTCAGGGTCAATCTGTGTCTCAGTGAAACACAATGTGGGGATTGTGAAAGGGGTGTGTTCTGTTCCTGGCTTGGCTGGAGCAGTAGAGTCCAGCAAGCAGCACAGTTCCCCTGGTGAGGGAGAGAAGGGAACAAAGCACTTTGGGATGCTGGGATGCTGTGCTGTGGCTTCTCTAAGAAGAAAAGATGTGCAGCAATTCATTCTCCCAGGAGAACCTTTCCTGGGAGTATTTTAATCCTGGCTGTTCCCAGGTTATTTTTCTCCTGGAGTGGCCATTTTTGATCTGCAAGAAAGGTCTTGAACATCAGTACACTTGTGGTTCCTCTTGGGATAGCAGTGACTCTCTTAGGAGAAATGGAATATCTGCATGTGGCTGAAGTAAGCTGTTGAGGTATGCTGTGGTGCTACCCTGCCCTACCTCGTGCCTGACTTCAAACTAATATGGCTAATTATCTCTTTCTTTTTAGTTATAGTAAGCATACAACCAAAAAACAAACAAAACCCAACCCCCCCCCCAAACCCAAATCAGTTGAATTTTTAAACTATGCATGATCTAGATTACACATAACGTGCTTTATCTTTATGGTGGATGCAATGGGGGCTGGGATGGTTTGGATGCTAAGGCACATACGTGGCATCCCAGAAGTGCAATGTTTGAGGCTATAGCAAAAGTGCTTATGATGAGGCCTTGTCAGATTCCAACAAATCTGTGAAATCTTCTAAACACCTTGTCATAAAGGCATGAAAAAGGAAAGAGCAAAAACGCAGTGAGGAGGAGCTATCCTCCTCCAGAAACTATATTTTCAGAGGCTTGCATAGTTTGGAACAGAAACGTACTTAGGTGCCTAAATACTTTTACATGCCTAATATTTGGAATAGGATCTGGACCTTATGGGAATAGATAGTGGATTACCATTTTGTAGATCAGTGGTTCTTATTCCTTGATAGACTCAAGAAAATGCCAACTCAGGTCCTTCCCCTGTGGGTACTACCTTGATTCTTGTGTGCAGTGTGCTCAGGATGAAACTGGGCAGAAGGCAACATTTCCATTCCATAAGAAATTCCAGAGTTCTGAAAAAATATATTGTTCTGTTTTGGTATGAAAAGCATAAATTTTAAAATTTCCCGCAGAAGGCAAATTCTGGGAACCCCCCCCCCATGACACAATCATTCAGAGGGTCTGAAAAGGAAATTGAGTGTCTGAGCTTAAACTGAGGCTCCTGGCTTGGCTGTGACTGCCAGGGCTTGCTGGGTCATGACTCTGTACCTATGAACTAAAAATCCTTAGCTGAAAAGGAGGATTTGGAGCTTGAAAACTGGGGCTCCTAGGCTCCATGTAGACTATGAGATAAGCTAGCAAGGAGTGGAAAATCCATCTATGCCTGTTGGGCCTGCCTTTCATCCAAAATGCATTGAGACTGATACATTGCTGTGGAACAGTTTTGGTTTTGCTGAAATGATACTTTCTGCTCAAAACCTTTTCATTAAAAATGGAGTCAAGGTGGGAGCTGCCTTCTTTGATAGGGTGTTACAAACTTCTAAAGCTGTTCACAAACATAGGGAATCACTCACAAATGCCAATAAATGGATCTATTAAATATCTTTATTACAAAACTTTGACAGAAACAGCTATGCAGTATATAGCTTGCATCTACAGTCATTAAGAGTATTGAAGAATCTCTGTTGCCCCCCAGCTCTCATCCCTTAGTACTAACAAACTAGACCCTGTACCAGCTACTAGCCAGAAGCTATAATGGCATCTACTGTGAGCAGCTGGCTTTGAAGAGCTACTGCTTTGCCTACTATTTACTATGGATGAAATCCAGGGTACTCTACAGTAATGAGAGATGCAAGGATTTCTTAGGGTGATTTATTTATTGGACCAACTGCACATTTGGGACACAGTTAGACAAGCTTTCAAATGCAAGACATTCTTCTTGCATTTGAAAACTTGTCTAACTCTCACATAATTCCATCATGGCTACAACATCACTCTAACACTACCATCTAAATCAATCAGTTCATGCATAGTGTTGCTAGGCCTCTTGTGTGCTTCAAAAGTCATCCTTTAGATAGGATGTAAAAATCAAAGCGGCTGCTAATCTGTAGAGTGACAGAGAAAGGGCAGACTGCTGTTTTAATTAATATATTAGGGATTCTATATTTGTTTATTCCAGCTGCTAGACCCAGAGAGGGCCCTTTACCTGTTTGGTGATCTTTAGCTCCCAGCCTGTGCTGCCTAACTCTATCACACAGAAGCTCCCTAAGCCTGGATCTGCAATATATAGTCCTTGAAAGGGCTGTTGACCATTCTACAACCTTTAGGGGTTATACGTTTCAACAAATGGGACGTTCTGGTCAAATTCCATTTTGGGTTGTTGCATTGTCAGGTAGGCAAAATATACTGCCCTTTCAACTGGATAAGGTATCCTGATTTACTTTCTGTCACAAATTGCTGTGTAATGTGCCTTCATGTAGTTAAACAGCTGTTGCACTCCAAAGTAGAGGCTACACTTATATAGAAAATCTATTCCTTCTATAATGGGTGTTGCTAAGAAACCTCCCAGTGACTCCACTGGGGATAGCTGAGGGTCTGTTTTCAAAGTGGTTGCCACCCTTTGAGTTAAAAAGTAAATACTAGAGGGCCTGAAGATGAGCACAGGTACAAATCAACATACAAAACCAAAGATTGGCTAGATTTTGAATGTTATTTGAACATTATTTATGTTATTTAAACAGTTTTTTCAAACTGTTCAGGAAATTGATGATGGCTCTCTAGATATATGCTTACTTATAGTTAATATTGGGGCAATGCATGGGCAGAATGAGGACACATTTTTGGTGTGCTTTCAGCAGTTTTGAAGACATATACATACTACAGTGATACTCTGGCCCATGGATGAGGTGTATAATGTGTGTTAAATTAAATTTTTTATGTAAGTTAAAATGGGAGGTGTAGTGAGAAGAGTTGTTCATTGTAGCTCTATTCTGGCAGAACAACAGTACAGCACTGGGAAGTCTGTGATTGAATGCAAACAGAAGGGTTCTCTTATGAGGGCATAGAATCATAGAAATGAAGGGCTGGTGGGGACCTCGAAAGATCATCGAGTCCAACCCCCCGTGCGCTGGGCAGGAATACTGAGATCAAATGATCCCAGCAAACTGTCTGTCCAGTCTCCTCTTGAAGACATCCAAGGCTGGGGACTGCACCACCTCCTTGGGAAGTCTATTCCAGATTCTGGTCACCCTTACCGTAAAAAAGTTCTTCCTTAAATGCAACCTGAAATCATCCTCTAACTGTTTATGGCCATTGCTCTTTGTCCTCCCCTGGGGCACCCTAGTGAACAGTTTTTCTCCCAGCTCCTGATATTCACCCCTTACATACTTCTAGATGGCCACCAAATCACCCTTCACTCTTCTCTTCTGCAGGCTGAACAGTCTCAGATCCCTTAGTCTTTCCTCGTAAGGTTTGTCCTCCCATCATTCTTTAGGCCTTTAATCATTCTTGTGGCCCTTCTCTGGACCCTTTCAAGATTCTCCACGTCCTTTTGGAAGTGCAGTGCCCAGAGTACTGGGCACAGTACTCCAACTGGGGTCTTACCAGTGCTGAGTAGAGAGGAAGTATCACTTCCTTAGCCCTGCTTATAACACATTGGCTAATGCATCCACTATGCTATCAGCTCTGTTGACTACAGTGTTGCACAGGCTGCTTATGTTCATCCTGTGATCAGCCATAACCCTGAGGTCCCTTTTAGCCATCATACTGGCCAGCACATCTCCTCCTAACCTATATTCATGTCACTGGTTACTTCTCCCCAGATGAAGCACTGTGCATTTATCCTTATTGAACTGCATCTGGTTCCACTCTGCCCACCTTTCCAGCTTGTCCAGGTCTGCTTGGATCTGCACCCTATCCCCAAGTGTGACCCCTTTTCCCCATCACTTAGTATCATCTGAAGACTTGGCCAGCATGCTTTCCACATCCACATCTAAATGGTTGATAAAGATTTTGAACAGCGCAGGGCCAAGCGTGGGCAAGACAATTGGGTTCTTCAGCACAAGGAGACTTTTCTTTTTCAGTAGGTAACTTGATGGCAGGTGTGGATCCAGGGGAGGAAGGCATGGGGGTGTGTGGCCACTGCTTTGGTACAGCTCTGGAACCCAAGGTGGAAGTGCCACCACTGCTCTCCCCCTCACCTTCTTGTCTGCAACTGAATTTGGTGGTAGGAGAAAAGAGAGGGGGAGTGACGATAGCATTCACTCCCTGTGTTCCAGAGCCACGCCTAAGTGTTGGCTCCAGCCAGAAGTTGTGCTAATGAGTCTGAGAGCTCAGAAAACTCACTGCACATGCACTGCACAGCCAAAGTGGGGTGTATATGTGGCCACCCCTTCATCTGAGATGTCCATGCCTGCTGGCTAATCAAGGAGACCCAAAATAAAGGCAAATCAAAGTCTAGAAGATCCCTGCACAGAAAGGAAAGTTCTACACAAGGAAGTTAGTAATCAGGAGAAGTGACTATAACATTATGTCTTTGTAGCAAAGAGAGAACTGTGTAAATACCGAAATTAATTCTAGCAGGGCAGGCTTTGCAAGTGTTTAGGCGGTTGAGACATAAAATCAGAGGCACCTTCACAATTTGTTGCTTTTTGGGAAAAAGTCAGCATATGGAATTTGTAGACTTTTACCACTTATTTTAAACCACAGTGAGAGATTTACTCTGTTACCCATGACAGTGGTAACATTATATCCAACTGAGTTGGGTCACTTCTCAGTCCTTTTGAAAAGAACGTATCTAAATGAACTTTGTTTAAAACTCTGCCTTTGGGAACTATGGTCTTAACTACCAAATTCTAGAAGGCATCTGATTGACCATTTCTGATTTCTTTGTGATTTCAGTCCCATCTATCTGTCTTTTATTCCTGTGTCCACAGAATGAAAACCTCTTGGTTTAAAGTAGGCAGTTGGATGTGTGATACAAAGCGGATTATATCCATGTAGCAATTCTCAGCTGCAGAGGTGGCATGTGAATAATTGCTGTTGAACAGTTGGAAATGCCAATCTGGCACACGGGAAGGTGCTTGCTGAAAAGTGCAGCCATACTAGGAAAAGCCATCGTTCACTTCCCCGTCTTTTCTTTACACTGGGCGGGAAGATTCCCGTACCCATTAGGCTTTTTGTTCACTATCACTATCACTCATAAGCAGCTGTCACATATCATGTTTTCCATCCTTTCAAGCATCAGATGTGGTACTATTGAATAGCTGCAGCACATTGATTCTGGAATAGTGGTTACACTGGGTTGCTGAGTGACTATTAACTGTGGCAGGTCGACAGAATTCTTTCCCATAGTACTCCTAAGGGGGGTCCTCAGCAAAGAAGCAGAATGATTTTTGAAGTTTCTTTTTCTATTTAACTGCCAAGAACTTCCAAATATAGCCCCTATCGCTCTTCCTATTAGAGCTGAGGCTGAATCTATGAGCTTGTAGAGTTTTCACTGAGCTCAGTGTGGGTTCTGGCATTTCAAAGCTCATGCAGTTCTACTCATAATTCAAGCAGAAAAGCACTTACACTGGTAACCCTGCAATGGGCTAGACACATCATCATGTTGATATGCACAGTTTTTAGCTCTTCATATCTATCTTGCACTATACACTGGCCCTTCTGCAAGAAATAACTAAGTGCTGAAATACTGTACTGGCTAGTACACAAGCATTCATTTTATGCCCTTGTAAACGGAGGTTAATAATGACATTGAAAGGGACTGCAAAGGATTGTACTCCAGAAATAAAAAGTGTTCACATGAACCCGGGAGAGTTTAACCAGCAGGATGGAGGTTAAATTAAGGATTTAAAAATGTCTATTCCTTTTATTCAATCATGGTGCTGTTTTCATAAATGCAGTCTCCCACTACTGCTTTTGTCACAGATGTAAGTGTATGGAAAGCGACAAATGCAGATTACTAGATTTTATGATTTGCTAAAGAAGACTGCAAAAAATAAACCAAGCTACCATATTTCTCCACAGAACCAGAAAAAAATAATGTCATATACTTTTTTCTGGAAACCCTAGCATAAAACTACATTTTTAAAGTGGCTAATTTAGCAATACAAAGGAAATAAAAATGCATCTTTGTACATCTAAATTTATTTTAAAACTGACTCTGCAGAAGTGAGGTCTCCATAACCCTTATAAAAGCAATATTCTAGCCTTTTTTGGATTCCTTAAAAGTGCTTATCAAGATGAATGAGAACAGTGGTGTGTAATTTCAAAAATGTAATTGCTTTTCTCTCTAGCTTTCTCTAAGCGTTTTCAAGGTCACCCATAAAAAGGGACAGATAAACCTATAATCCAAGTCTTCTCCTGGTGTTCCATGTCAGTGCATATTACTCCCTGCATAAAAGACTTGTAACTTCTTGAATTGTTCGGTTCTATTTTTTCCTCTCAGAAAAGAATATGAAATTCCTACCAGTTCAGACATAGGTTTGCAAAGAGGCCACACTGAGAGATCACAAAGTAAAATACTTTTCCATTTAGGAGAAGTGTTACAAATATATTACAAGATGAATATATTATAGTGATAACCATACAGAAGGTAGGGCAGGGTGGCACCTTAAAGACTAGCTTATTCAGAAAGGTGTAAGCTCTCATAAGTGATAGCCTGCCTCATCAGATACTGTGACAAAACGCAGCAACTGAAAAAGTAGGCTGTTGCCCATGAAAGCTGATGTCTTTCAGAACCAATTAATCTTCAAAGGCAACACCCTTCCTTACCTTTTGACTAACTTCATAGCTAACTACCTTTCTCTACTCAGTGGTAACTGTGGGATGCATCACCCCCATCTCCTCAATGCCACAGGATCCACTCAAAGAACTGCTCCATGAGAAAGGCAGGGCAGCTCCAGCCTTTGTTACATCCCTAAGTAATCTCTGCATGATTGGTGATGCTCTATTATCCACAGCCCTATCTCCACCCAACACATGATCACTACTGCGTTCCTCTAACTTGTCCAGTTCCTGTGCTAATCTTTTCTGTACAAAGTGTGCTCCCTGGATTCGGGAATCATATTGTGATGCAGGGATCCCCAAGCAGTCAGGGGTGCACACTTTGCCCATAAATTACGCCAACAAACTGAATCTAAAGAATATGGGACACAGACCTCTATATGAGAAATGAATTGTAGAAGGGAAGGAAATGGAAATGTGGATACTGAGGCAGGCTGTATGTTAATATAAGGAGAGTGCAATTTGAACACTGTAAAGATGTATTCAACATTTCCCCCTATTTTATCATACCTGTACTTCACTGATAAGTGACTTTTGATCGGGGAGTGTGGGGGGGTTCTTCACTTGTTAGCAAAGGAGATAGAGAAAGCAGGTAGAAGAAGAGGGTATCAGATAAAACTTGACATTATTGTTTTTAAGGTGGCCCTCTTTAAGTTTATGCATGTTTCTGTTTTCAGGTCCAAAGAGTATTAAGTGCCCTGGTTCAAGGGGATTTACAATGCACCAGAAAGGACCTGAGGGCCAAAACATTAATTTTTCTATGATTTTCTTACCTGAAAGTATGTAGATATCGATGCATTAATGCATATTTTCTCTCCAAAACATTGGTTTTTATTTGCCAGCCACTGGCTTGATTGCTCCACTGGTCATTCTTTGCCAGTTAGTGACTTCTGCAGTGTTTTCACACAAGGGAGCAAGAGGTTGTAAAGTAGCACACTGACCTATTGTACTTTGTATTCATGCTGTTAGGACAGAAGATTGCAATCAGCTGTCACTGGCTCCCTCGTTCCTCTCTCACAGGAGGACATGGAGTGAACAGAGGCTGGTTCTGTTCCCTCAACAAATGAACTGCACAATGGAGCAGGGAAGCAAGGGCTCTTTATGTCATATTTGGGCATCACTTCTTGGGTAATAATTACACTCCTTATCTAGGACAGACTGGAAGACACTTGTTCAGCCCTCTGACAGGCATGGGTTACCTCTCCTCTAAATTCTCGTCTTCATATTTTAGTTGTAGAATACGTTAGGTTAGGTCATACCTGTAGGGAAATAACTCACAGGAAGGAAGTCTTCCTTATTCCTCCTAGCTCTTCCTGGTTCCTTGGAAGGATGGCTTCAAGGCATCTGGTGTACTAGGACTTCTTGCTAGCATCACCCTCCATGTCTCTAGAAACCAAAAGCTCTCCATTAGTGATGGGGAGAGACACTTGGCCATCCGTCTCCTTCCATTCCCAGCATCCCTTTCCCACAGAACATTTCTGTAACCTATTAGGCAGGACTAATAACAGGGAGGCATGATGCCCCACAAGCGACTTTCCTTTATGTACTCCAGTGATTTAAACAGTGATGTGTCACACTTTCATTCTCCTCTGCCCAAAGGGGCAGGAGGTAAGATTTGGAAAGCCATGATTTTTTTCAGGTGTTCTTTAATAATGACCTGATCACAAATGGTGATTCCTGACAGGAGTTCCTTTACTAAATTTGAGAGACCCTAGAGGACAATTAGCAATATTTGCCAGGAAGGCCAACCTCACTGAAATACAGTAGTCTCACAGAAAATGGTGCATTTCTCTAAAAGTCTCCTGTAGGAATTTTTTATGTGTTTGTTTTGGGGAAGCAAAAAAGCCTTGAAAAGTTCAGGATTTGTATCCAAAGCTTATCCAAATTCCCCATGTCTTGGAAATGGAGTAGCAGTTCTGGTCACTACAGGAAGGCATTGCAAGAAGGTGTTTGTGGATGGACAAGAGGAGTGGTGGTGGGTGGGTGTGCTTCCCTCATGGTGAAAAAGAAAGAAACATGGCTTCAGCCTAGCTTCCCAAGGACTCTGTGCTGTGTTTCTTAGGCCAAGAAGGTCGATTCTGTACTTCAGATCCTGCATTGTTACCCACTTTGCTGTGGCCTATTTATTTCTGATGGCAGCAATTTCCCCATGTGCTACTGTACCATAAAGCAAAAGTGATAAATACTGTATAGGTGTTTTAGTACAGCTGTTACATTAAAAGCAATGAGATTTTCTTTAGGGAGTTTAGGAAACAAGAAGATAACCAATTTGAAGAGAAAATAATTCCTCCTGTGGCTGAGTATGCTGTCATAGATAGGTGCATGCATCCCACAGCCAGGGCTCCTATTCCATCACAGATGGAAACAGAACTTAAAATGCCAAAAACTGTAGATGTGCAGCTATATTACTGCCACTTGAGTGTGTGGAAATGAAATAGACTTTAGCCCTAGGCATACAGAGGACTAAAGGGGCAGTTGAGCATTTTGTAATTATGATCCATCTTCATTAGGTAATTTACATGTGTGAAAGGCAGTCTATTAGATTATGGTGACTGACTGTATTTGCAATCATGAATGTAGAATGGTAACACATATGGAAATAAATAAATACCCCCCCATAGGAAATACCCCCCACCCCCCATAGGAAATGGAACCTGGAGATTTTGTCACTGAAATTGTTAAGATACCATCTTATCTATGATTTAACCAGCTCAAATAATGATTGAGTTTGATTTCTGTCATTGGGTAGGCTTTAAACCATCTCTCCTTACCCTGTCCATTTTGAAAGCTAGTCAGCATTACCTTATAATATTACATAAAAGACTACCTTGATGATTGGGCAGGTTTCTCTAATTTTCACTCTATCCCATGCTGTTTTTGCTAATGTATCATTCTTCGCTGCCCAACACAGATCCAAAGTTATAGGATTTCCTTGCACGTAGATAATATAGGTGATATTCTCTCCTCATGCTTACAGATAGAGAGCTGGAGCTATTTGTGATTCTGATAGTTTTCTACATTGGTGATATGTAGGGGGTGCATGTGCACCCCCTGAGCATAGTGGTGCACCCCTTATGAAAAGGCACCGCTGACACTGCTGACGGTGCCTGAGGGTGTTTGCTGCTTGCCACCCTCCACCCCTTGCTGCCAACACCACTGGTGGCATCTGCGGGCAGTCCGCGATTGCTGCTGGCCACTGCTGCCGCTGCTGGCGGTGTCTGTAGGTGGTTGCGACCACTGGTTGGTGCTCACCACCCTCCCACTGCCAAGAATTATGCAGCCGCTTGCTGGAGCTCACAGTGCCCCCACCAGCCTCCGAGGGCACACAGCATTCAGAGTTTTCTACATTCCCTTGATGTTACTTTGCAGGTAGTTCAGGAGAATGGTAACCTGCAGGGTTTACTTTAGGGATGATCTCAGGTCTAGCTGGGAACCAGGAACTTTCAGCATGACTTTCCTTTACACTGACCCTGCTCTCCACTTGGAAATCTATGACAGACTTAATGGTACTGGAAACATCTTTAAAACCTGTGGAATCCCTTTCCAGAGCTTTTAGTGAGTAACCATGAAGGGATCTGAACAGTGACAATATAGCTACAGCATCATGTCTGGTGCCAGGGAAAGAGAAGGTCAACACAGCCCTATGAAAAACCAGCCATCACTGGATGCAGTGTTTGTGCCATCCCTGGTGCCTCCCACTCACCTTCTACTAGAAGATGTTAGGTCTTAAAAAAACCAATGGGGACATATAGAATATATGCTGAAGGCCCACTTGGGATAAATCTGTTGGATCTCAATTATTTTAGAAAACTCCAAGCTCGGTCCAACAAATGACACTTCCATCATGCCCAAGAGTTGACAGGATTGGAATTCAGACACACACTTTACAACTCTATATAATCAACTAAACAGAGAATATGAAAAGTCTTTTGTTTTGGATGTCTTCAAGTGTTAAAATTCATAGGCAGACTGCTGACTGTACTTCATCCCTAAGGGAGGAAAGGTGGAAAGGAAATGATGCAGTATCTCCTTGATATTATGTCTACAACCTTTTTGTGCTGTGAGTACATGAAGAAAGCAGATGACACAGTGCACTTTCACAAACCAAATTAATCAATTCAATTATGAGTATCTTGAGGGGCTTCGCTCTGTTAGAAAGAGTCTGCTTACATCACACTTTTCCAAAATAATCCTTTCAGAGCATCTGCTCAAGCAGATGAATCCTGAGCTGTCCTCTGGGCTTCAAAAAATATGTAGTAACTTGCTGTAATAATATTAACAGAGAGGCAGGGAAAAGGTTCTGTTACTAACACTACAGAATCTACCTTAAACCTTGTTGTTTTAATTTTTTTTCTCCTCAAAACAGAAGCGTAATTTAAGGATAAGACATTGTTAGTTATTCTGCCTTGCTTGGGGCTTTGCCAGAGAGTGACAGGTCTTTCTTTCTCTGTAGAGTGAGTGCTCTAATTACACCTACTGTAAGTCAGAGCTACACTACTACAACGTCAATGCAAATGTCAGATGTCTTTTTGCTTTAAACTGTCTAGTCACTAATAACAGCGTCTCATTTTCAGGAAGAGTTTTCAGGAAATTTTTTTATATTTAGATACCCTTTATTTGTCTCCTTCATCTTGATGTCACTAATTGTGTTCCATATCATATTGCTTTTTAGAGGCCTGAGTATAGTGCTTTGATAGTTTATATGTTAATTGCCAAGGTCAAAAGAAAAAGAAAACATGCTCTGATTGCTTAATGACAAGAAGCGTGACTTGAAGTACAGGTTTAATAGATACTGTTGGGTTGGTAATAAAGGAACACACTTAGGAATATCAAATATCTTTAATTCAAATGAATCGATACTAGGCAACAGCTTTTAGTAAATTCTTTGTAATTGATATTCACTGTATGCATTTGGGGGCCCTGGAAGATTTGCTGAGGACCCTCAAAACCACTTGGTCTGATCCTGAAATCCTTACTCAGACAAGTAGTTGTTTGCAGTGATTCTACATTTGAGTGTCCTCATTGCTTAAAAGCATTGCATTTTATTTTTTGACCTTTCAGAGCAATTGTCTAAATTATATGAAAAAAATTGTACACATTTCTTTGCTATTTCTGCAAGTACAAAACCCTCGTTATTTAAGATAGAATGTCTTTAATACGTTTAAGAGAGGAATCTGGAAAAGCAGGTAGCATGCTGTGTCTGGCTGGGGACCTGATCCCCTTAAAATCAATAGCTCCAACTTACTTCCCTGGAATCAAGATTAATTTCTGCATGTATATGTATACATTACATTTTAACCAGACAATTGTTAAAACACAGCTTAGAATCATAGTACATTTTGTAAGGTAGGAAAATAGCACATGTACTCTGCAATTTTTTTCAAACCACATTACTAATTCGATCAATTTATACGTTTTTATAATCTCCTTCCACTAAGGGAATGTATACCATCTAGCAACCCTATTTTAATCAGTACATAGATCACCTGTAAGGATGGTCTTAAAATAGAGTCTGTATGTATTTTGATCTGCACTTTATAACATATAATGCATTTCCTTTATTTTCATGCTCCCAGGGTATCTTTTTAAATGGAGCAGGAATGATACAAATTTTGAAATAGGCAGTGTTCAGAAGCTGTCTTAAGACATTTTTCATCATTTGAAGTGCATGAGCTGTATGTGGTTGGGGTACTGTATGCTTTGTTCCACATTTCCTATTACTTCAGCTTCCAACATTAATCTGAAAAAAATTAAAGGAGATTTTTTTAACGTCTAGAAACTGTTATCCTACCTAACTCAGTGTGTCCTCTCGTTATGGATAAAGGGACATACCATTGCATTGTTTTCCTTAACTATTCAGCTGCTCTGGCTTTCAGTTTCACAGACATTGATGTAACAACATGGTTGAAAAAAGGCTGAAAAACCCAAAAGGTTTAGTGTGTTTTCTAGAAAAGGGGAATTTATTTTTCCATTTCAGCCCAAATAAATATAAAATGAGATGTGAAATAATGTACATTTTTAGTTATGTATAAAAACCAGAGATTCCATGCATCCCTGACTAATGCAGTAGTATAAGCAATTACAAACCTTAAATAGCCAATAAACTTGTATTCTTTATGTGTAGTAGATGTTATCAACCAGTCCAGGTATTTCTGTTACTGATTTCTGGTGTAGGTGCAGCTGCTCTAGCATATCATTGCAATTTAATCACTTTTCTGTGGAATGGGCATTATACCTGGCTCTACCTCTCATCCATGCTTGCCCAAGTAATACTGCATCCTTTTCTCAGCAAACACTGTGTGAGACTTAAAATTATCCTGAAGTTTCCTGTTGACCTCGCTCACAGAAATGGAAGCCTTATACTTTCAGAGGGAC